AATGATCTTAAAGATGAAATTCATGCATTTTTAACAAACAAACTACATGAAAATGAATTTATTAATTTTAAGTTTTTAATAATAATATTTGATTAATTTTTTAATTTTTTAATACTTTTATAAGTTTTGTTATCAATAAAGTTTTTTTTTTTCGTCTCAATTTTCAAAAGGTCTATTTTTACAGTGTCTTTAGCCTTATATTTATTTGACTATGCCGCTAATCACTATAATTAATTCACAGCTGTGTTCATTGATTCACTATGCCCCAGTACTGGGGCACAGTGAATAACGTAACGCAACTCACTCTAAACCTTTCTGTGAGCCGATAGATAATAAATATTTGGGTTTTAGTAATTTATCATCATGAAAAACACAAATCTCAATCCTTTCGCCTTGAAAAAATAAAATACATATTTTAACTTTTGCTTAATTTTAAAAATAAAATCCGACCGACTGTGCCCTAACTTAACATATGTTTCCAAAAGTAAACTGCACCACCACAATAGTTTCTACTAGAGAGCCTATATACTCAGAGAGTGGACATACGTGTGATCGTTTTTGATTGGTTGCTCAATTTTTATGATTTTAGACGCCATCTTTTTGCCAAAAATACTAACTGCGATTAAAGTCTACTACTAAATTTGTATTAAATATTTGTGAAAGTATGCCTGGTTGTGCTGCAGTAGGCTGCCATAACAGGCCTGGGAAAGAATTTATTATGAAATGCTTCCCAAGAAATGAAAAACAACGGGCGATTTGGACTTCTAAAGTTAAACGACTTAACTGGGTACCTACAAACACAAACTTTTTATGTGAAGTAAGCATAAGAAAATACAGTTTTATGTAATTAATCCTAGAAATGAGTTATTTTAGAATCCATACAAATACATTATATTCTTTCAATTTTTTTATTAAGGACACTTTGATGCTGATCAATGGGAAAAAAACAGAAGATGGATCAAGAAAACTCAAACATAATGCATTTCCTACTGTCTTTAAACATGTTAGAGCAAAACATAAGCGAAAAAAATCAACTCGAGCGTTTTCCAATACCAAAAAAAAAGAAAATAAGTTGTATAGAAAGAGGAGAAGTTGTGGAAAATGTTTTAATTGAAGTAAATAACAATGAACTATCTGAAGTTTGCACAACTGAGGTTGATAAAAGTTTACTTATACAAGATTTAAATGCGAAATTGGAGAGATTAGAAAAAAAAGTCATTAATCAAAAAAAAAAAAAATTAACATTTTAAAATCGAAAGCAAGAATAAATACTATTCAAAAATATAATCATATAAAAAGAGATAAATTTAGAGTTTTGAAAACAATATTTAAAGAAGATCAAATTTTATCCTTAAGTAGAAAAAATATGAAATTCATTAAATGGTCAAATGATACTATAAATGCAGCGTTAGAACTCAAATTTACATATGGTCAAAGTGGTTATAAAACTTTACTTCGTTTAAACTTACCATACCCATCATTACGTACCCTACGACGAAGATTAGAAAATCTAAAATTTCAAAGTGGCATTCTAACAGAAGTCTTTGAGTTTATGAAAACTAAGGTGAATGCCATGAAAATCCATAAAAAAGAATGTGTTTTAATTCTTGATGAAATGTCAATAACTGAAAGTGTTGACTATGACACGTCTACAAGCTCTTACTATGGAGTTGTTACATTACCTGAACATTATGGCCAAGCTAACCATGCTTTAGTTTTTATGCTTGGAGGAATATTTACAAGATTGAAACAAACTGTTGCATATTATTATACTGGAAGTTCTGTTTTAAAAAACATTGTCCTATCTATAATAAAGTATACTGAAGAAATAGGATTAAAAGTTAATTGTGTTACTTCTGATATGGCACTCATATCAGAAGTAACAGGGTTAATGTGAAATGTTTTAAAATATTAAAACATTTCCACATTAACCACGCAATGTGGAAATGTTTTAATATTTTTTAGCAGTACTAAAAGTTGCAGTATTTCTAGTTCAATTTAACACCCATGTGACCCTACTCGTACAATTGATTTTTTAGCAGACGTACCACATTTATTAAAGAATATAAGAACATCTTTTTTATGTAACAAACATTTTATAATAACAGCTAAGATTCAAGAGAAATATAAAGTTCAATCGCCAATTATAGATTCAAAACACCTTAACAAGCTTGTAGACTTTCAAGAAGGTATGGATTTGAAGTTTGCTTACAAGCTTACATCTGAACATCTTGATGAAAAACATTTCAACAAAATGAAAGTATCAAGAGCAACATCTGTAATGAATCATGATGTAAGTTGTGGATTAAAATTTATTGCAAGTGAAATAAAAGATGATTCTATTCTCACAACTGCTCGGTTTATAGGAATTGTTGATAAATGGTTTCCATTAATGACTTCACAAAACCCAGGTATGGCTCTTAGCATGAAAACTAACAAAGTTTACAATGAAACAATAACTTTTTTAAATGAAGTTATAGAGATATTCAATTGTTTAAAAATATTAGGCCAAACTGAAAAAATAAGTTGGAAACCTATTCAATCTGGTGTTATATTATCAACAACATCAGTTATTAACTTGCAAAATAAGTTTCTTCTATAAAAAAGGTTTGATTTTCTAATGACATCACGATTTACGCAGGATTGCCTGGAGAATTTTTTTTCCCTGGTACGTTCAAAACAAGTAATTCCTACTGCTCTTCAATTTAAAAATAACTTGAAACTTATTTGCGTTGCCCAATTCTTGAAAAAATCATCAAAAGGCAGTTATGATATAGATGACCGTCAATTCTTATCTGGTTTTCTTGATATAGTTAATAGTAATGTGCATAAACCACAGCAAAGAGAGTGCATTTTTTTACCTAAAGATTGGGATAAAACCTCTAACTTAATCTTAAGTAATGCTGAGCAAAATTGTTCATTTCATATTGCAGGTTATATAATTTCTAGAGTTAAAAAAATTTAAAAAGTTTGCACAATTTGTTTTGAATTTCTAGTTTCTAAAAATAGAGTTAATGCTGATCACTGTGCACCAGAGAGACCGCCAGGTTTTATGTCGTGGCACTCAAATGAAACCTTTTTTATTCAAGAGTATTTGTATTATAACAATAAAAAAAATGATTTTTAAAATCCAAACAAATTGCTAAGGGTCATAAATGGGGCAAAAAGGTAAATACAAGGGGGGCACAAGCCCATTTAGGTATGCTAGTTGCAAGTTACAAAAAAAAAATTTTTAATTCAAAAGTATTTGTTAAATAAAAATAGAAAAAACCTTTTTTTTTTTAAAAAAAAAAAAAGTCAAGGATCGTAAATGAGGCAAAGGGTAAAATGGAGGGGCCCTATGCCCATTTAAACATTTGAGATGCCCGTTACAATAATTTTTAAAAATAAATGTCAAATATTTTAAACAAAGTATGAACATATATATATATATATATATATATATATATATATATATATATATATATATATATATATATATATATATATATATATATATATATATATACACACACACACACACACAATATAAATATACATATATACATATAACTATATAAATAAATTTATAAACAAAATCAAATTCTTTTTGCTCCAAAATCAACTACTGCTGATAATAGCCTGTCACCATGTTCGGAATGTTCTATTTGTCTCTTAAACCTTGTCCATGTTGGCTTAAACTTTGCATGAATACTTTCTCCACATTGTTCAGCAAAGTTACCCAATCCTTTGTTATGGTGTTCCACATATGGCTGTACATGACACAGTAGAATGTGGACTTTCCATGTTGTATTTATTTGTTTATTTAAATTTACTGCAACTTCTTGTGCGGAAAGAAATGAATTCTTTAAATTTGTTATTGCTTCTTTGAAGCCAGTTTGTAAATTGCTGGAAAAGCAACAAATTTTTACATTTCTAAAATCTCTCAAACACTGTACAATTGGAATCAAACAAGTAAATGTTTCTAAAATTTGTGTTTCAAGAGAATCAAGATTTTCTAATATTTTATTCGAATTGTTTCCGTCCCAGCCTCTGCCTTGGTACCCTCGCTGAATAACATTTTTTGACTTTAGCCAATCATCAAATCCTGGCCAGACATCTAACAAAAAATTTCCAAGCAGTGAAACAAAACCAATTAACAAATGAAGTTCAGGTGGAGGAATGAGTTGCTCAATTAAAGTATTTGGATCTAAATTAATATATAAAATTCGAGGATTGATGCAGTTCATAAACTCTTGCATGGATGATTTTACTGAGTTATTTTCTAAATATTTATTGTACCAATAATCAATACTGCCAAGAGTTCGTTTTGTCCCTAAATTTAATGTAGATATTCCTTCACACCATAAACAAGCTTTTTTTTCTATAATGTCCTGATAAACCAAACAGTGCGTTTCCACATTTCAAGTCAAAAGCAACAAAAAAACTGACATCTTGCAAATTTAGTTTTCTATAACAAGTCTCAAATTATAGTTAGATTCAAGAATATCTTCAACAATAGCTAAAAATTGAGACCGTTGAACGCCACTATTTAAGTACTCGCCTGACTCATTATCTTTTTGACAATCAAAGACATTGATGATTACTTTAAAAAATGAACCTCCACCATCCAATGAAGTTCTTATAAAGGCTGAAGTAGGGTCTAAACTACGCAATTTTAATAAGTCAAGTACAAAATTTGATGTATTTTGAACATATACAAGATCTCGTAAAATAAAATGGCCTTTACTATCAATAAACTCGCACTTCTGCACACTGTAGTAATTAGAAATATATTCTTCTAATTCAGAAAGACGACCAAAAATATTAGGCTCAATGGAAAGCTTATTTCCTAAACCTTTGCGTAAAGTAGAAAGCATCTCTTTTGTTTTTCTATTTGAAAGTTCTAACACAATTTGTAATTGCTTTATTATTTCGATGGAAAGCTGCTTAATAGAAGTTCTTTTTGATTTGTTTTCTGGTGTACCAACTGTGACTTTTAGCGGATTTCCTCCTAAATAATAAACAAAATGTTGATCCGTCAACCAAACTTTCTGTAGCCATTTTACTTTTTATAATTCCAGAAGCAACCTACGTAAAGTTTTCACAAAATGAAATTTGCATAAAAAACTAAAAACTTATAAACAAAATATAGTTTTTTTTACCTGTTCAGCTTGAAGAGAACCTAGAAGAAATGACAGTGTAATGATATTTGCCACAGCACTGGTGGGTGTACAGTTATGAGAATAACCAGGTGCAGGCAATGAATAGCAAAAAGAACATATACTTGACTTAGTTGTCGGAAAATTAGTTATCTCATCTGGAAGAGTTAGACTGGTTCTGGGGCTATTTCTCAAAAGGGTTTTCTACTCTACCTAAATAAATATACATTTATAAATAAACTAAAGAAAAAAAAGGAAAATAAATGGAAAAAATCATTAAAACTACCTTGGTAACCTTAGCTCCCCATTCACCACGAGGTGAGTCTCCCTTTTTGAGTCTGTAAAGATTTCTTTGGCAACCAGGACAAACAACTGATGGATAGCAATCGTTGTTCATCGAATATCCAGGAAAGATAAACATTTGAATTTGTTCTTCTAAGTTTTTATTCATTTTTTTCAATGATTTTGATCTTTCGCCATACTTTTCCGAGCAACAGCAACAAGTAGAATTCATTTTTAAGTAAAAGAAATACAACTCCTAAGTAGCACGACCTTCCGCAATTTGAAAATTTTTATACTACCATCTTTTTAATCTCTAAATTTTTTTTGATTAGTTAGTACAGGGGGTAATTAAATTTATAAGCCCATCTAATATGAGGTTACAGTATAATTAATATAATAAATAGCTTATATTTAGCTAATTATATATAAAAATTTGTTAAAAATTTATTTTTGACATATTTAATTTTATTTTTAAACTATTATATTAAACAATATATTTTACAAAATAAATTTTGTTACCTCCATTAAAAAAAAATCTATCAGTGGTTTCCAAGGATAAAAACATTTTTTTAAAAATTTTTTTCAAGTCAAGTTTCGGCGAAAAATTAAGAAATTTTATAACCATTTTATAATATATTTATATCAAAAAAGGTATGATAGCAACGCGTTTCGATTTCAAAAAATATATTTTCTAAAGCAATATATATAATACTTTCATAAAATAAGGACTTGGTTTGAGTGCCACGACAAAAAACCTGGCGGTCTCTCTGGTGCACAGTGTGATTACACAAAGTTTGTTACAGACAAAGAGCACAAAGTGGGTAGTTTATTTTTTGCTAATGAAACAACATTTGCATTCTTTTTACAAATGGAGTTAATATTCAGATCATTTGAGCTATACCTTAATTCCCAAAAGAATTATAATACTATGCTTTTAGAGAAAGTTAATTCTGATGAACAAATTAAAAGTCTAACTTTGTATCCTAGTTGTCATCAAATTAAATTGAAGCTAAAAAACAGGCTTATAACATTCAGACTTAAAATATTTACCCTTAAAAAAAAGCGTTTATTATGTAAAAAGAAAAAAACTAAAAAAAGTTCTTGTGAACTTGGCAGCAAGAGTATGACAATGCATGCATTTGCACTAAAGGTTTAGGTTCAACTAATTTATAAAATAAACTGTAAAGTTTTTTTCAAATTAGTTATTGGTTACAACTACTTTTTTGTTGTGTTTTTTTAATGGTATTTCCTAAATAAATAAATAATTTTGTCGAAAAATAATTTTGAAAAAATAAAACATAAAAAGGTTTAATTTTTAAAAATATATTTCTGTTTAAAGTATTATTGTGCTCATTTTCTTTTAATTGTTTTTACTTGAATTCGTGAATGTCATACGCTAGTTTGGCAAAAACATGGCCGCCGTTCTTCCGTATTTTCCGTATGTCCGCTCTCTGAGTATATAGGCTCTCTAGTTTCTACCTTAACCGGTCAGATCTCACTGGGTGATGACAAATATACCAACTTATAAAAAAGCATAATTAGTAGTTCTACCAGTTCTTATCTAAGATGGCTACCCACTATTAAAAATCGCCAAATAATAAAAATACACTTTTTCATTTTTTAAGGGTTTAACTTTATGCAAAATCAAATAAAAAAAAAAAAAAATGACTGTTGTTTAAAGTCGAACATGATGGAGAATTTAATGCCTCTTGTTCTTTTTTTAATGTATACTGTTTTTTAAAAGTTTTTATTTTGTTTTTGTTTTTGTGCTTGACTCCATTTGAAAATTCCCTAACAATAAGTTGAAATTTTACAATTTTAGGGAGGTACGACACACCCGCCCCTCAAGCATAACCCAGAAGTTGCGCACGATCTTTCGTCTTTAAATAAAAAAATAAACTTTTTATGTAAGCTAGTTAACTTGTCGTGAACTAGCTTATATAAAAAATATTACCCTTTTAACAATGTACCAAGTTGGACTTACACGTTTGGCTTCCCCGAAATTGAATGTGAGCATGTAGGTCAACTTAATTTTAATGACAAAAAAATTACAAAATTACGAAATTTTTATGACAAAAAATGACAAAAAAATCTTTGCGACAGAAAAGAAAGGTATAAAAACGAGCATAAAAATTTTTTAAAAGATGAAACTTGATAGATCTTGTTATTTTCATAAAACTCTTATTACTTTCACGTAATCCCTTCCCTAATATTTCTGAAAATTAATACTATTTTTCAAAACTATAATTAACAGTTGTGTAAAGATCTTAACATTTGACTCCTCCAACAACTATTGCATAACCTTAATCATACAATAACGATTGTGTTGGGATTGTAATTGCATAAACAAAGGGGTTATTTGTCATAGTATTATTATTTCTTCATAAATATTACTCAAGATAACCTTCTCATAAACAATTGAATCACGCATAGCAGTAGTAAGTGGTATTTTTTTTCTTTTTTATGCACATTTATTATACATGTACAATATTTGTTTATATGTATATTAAGGTTGCGCCGAGCGTAAAAAATATCTTCAAACAGTACTTTTAGAAAACTTTTTTTCAAGACATTTTTTACACTACTCCAAGATTAAAAAATTAGTAATGAAACATAAATAATGTAATAAATAAAAAACATTAAAAACATAATAAATAAGGTAAAATAAAAAATAAAAATAAAGACATTAAAAATAGGGTAATTTTGGCAGGGTGATAATTTTAGCATCCCTTCAAAAGACACCTAATATATATATTTATTTGGTTGTTCAACTCGTGTTTGGGTATTGAAGCAAGGTAAAAAATATTTCTAATAAATAAGGTTTAAACTTCTTTTTTTTTGTAATATAGGTACGCTGATTTATGATTGTTATCTTTGTCTAAACATTTTTATCTTTTTCAAAATGATAAATGATTTTTATTTTATGAACTTGTAGCAAAAATGTTTTATTTATTTTACTCACTAACATTTTAATAACGCGCTGAATGAAAAATAATCTGAATTATACCTTAAGTGAAAGTTACGTTAAAACTTTTAACTAATGTTTTTATATTAGCGAAACGCTTTAAAATAAAGGAACAATTTATTGATAAAAGCTTTAAAATAAAGTAACAAATTATTGATAATTAAAGTATATGTCACAGTTCTATATAAAGGGGGAGCAATTTTCATAGCAAAAAAATCAATATTCCTGGAATACGAATCGATGCCTGTTATTTATAAGATGAAAGTAAAAAAATTTTTTGATTTTGATTAGATCTTAAGGTTCCTCTTTGGATTATAAATTCTTGACGGGTACTAATATTTTTGAATTTTGTTTTAAAACCATATCAACCTTGAACTCAAAAAAGGCAGTAAATAATGCTTGTTTGATAAATAACAATTTTATTAAAAAAAAAAATTAGTGAAAAAAATATTTGCAAAAATATACCTTGAAACCCCCGTTTTGCCGAAGACTGGGATTTCAAGGTATAAATAGAGCTGTTTTTATGAAAAAAACAGCTCTATTTTTTTATTTTATAATTAAAACAAACAATATTTTCAAAATCAGCATATTATTCTGCTTCTTTTGAGTACAAGGTTGATATAGTTTAAAAGGAAAACAAATTTTTAACAGTATAGTTTGCAGATTTCCACTCATTTTTTTATACAAGTAAACAAATCGTTGAACAGCAAGTCTAAAACCAACGTATTTATATTTTACAAATTTTGGCTAATGCTACAATATATATGCTGCGTGGACTACTAATTCTTGTTAGTAATTAAGTTACTGCAAGTGTTAGTAATTAAAATTAAAGTAATTAAATTACAGTTAGTGTTAGTTATTATACTGCCGCCCTAAGTAAAAACGCAGTAAACAACAAAAATGACATTCTGAGAAAAAGCCACTTTTAAATTTTGTGTGAACCTTACTTGAATATAATAATTAGACTTTCATGCCACATAGATTATGAATACAAAATACTTCCTTTATTCAATGAAAATTTATATTTAACCAAAACATCAATATATAGGCTGAAAAATCACACACTGCTAATTTACACAATATTTCACAGCCGTCATCCTAGATAAAAACGCAGTATAATCAATACAAAAATGCATGCATACTCCAATATATATTTTTTCATAAATATCAATGTGTTTTTATAAAAGGCATTGTTAATCACAATCTAGCTTGATAATCAATGGTTTCCAAACAAACCTTAATTAATAGTGGAGTTATAACATAGAGCTAGACTGCGTCTAATTAATAGGAAGAATTTTGAGTAAAGAATACTTACAACCAACAAATATGATATTTATAACAACCAGTCCAACCCAACAAAACATATTTTTTCCACGAATATTAAATAATACCTTTCTCTTACCATTAGTTAGGAGTGCACTAGGGGCTCAAAAACCACAATTTACCCATTATCAAATTAATAATCAGTCTTTCCATCTCTTATTTTGTCAACTTCATTCAAAGTGTGTATAAGGTAGATTAAGTAAATTAGATTTTTTAAAACGTTTTATTAGAATAAAAAAATACATATATAATTGAAAAAATATATAATATAAATGAAATTATATATTTTTTAAATTGTTCCAGAAAATTCTCCTGCTGGCTGGCATTAAACTCGATAAATTCGACAAAATATCATCGATTTTGTCTTGAGCCACCCCACGAGGCTTGTCCAACTGTGGAGGTTTTGATATTTTCTTTGTTGATGATTTCTTACAGAGGGAGTCTAATTGTTTTGTAAACTCCTCCGTATGAGAAGTTTTGTATTCCATTGTAAATTTACCTCTGCGTGTTCTCACTGCTACAATGTTCTTCAGATATATTTTTTCAGAAGATTTCTTTAACTTCTGTTGGGATTTGTTATCTTTCCACATGTATATATCTAAAAATGTCATTTCTTTCACATCCACCTTCCCTTTATTAGCATTCTGTACAGCTTTGGAAAAATCAGGAAAATCGTAAACTTTTTGTTTCTTCATGGAGAGCTCCACCTGATGATGAAAACTGTCGGCACTCATATATGTATGTCCTGGCTCAAAGTATTTTAGTTGTATTTCATCCATATCTACTTCATCACTATTTACAATATATACTAAAAAAGACAGAAGGCACCAATTTTTATTTTGGCTCGAACAAATGTCGAGCCAAAGTGTAATCTTTTTCGAGTCCCTCTGCCTCAAAAAAAAAGCATAAAATGTACTAACAATGTCCTCCTTGTTCCTCCCAGTTACACCTTCATGCCATATACATGCCATGGGAACACCATGTGCTTTTTTTCCCAAGAGGAACGAAACTCTCGGGGTAAGCCACTATTCTCTTTGTAAATATAACTTTTTTAAATGCATCCAAACGTGGCAGCATGATGACTTTCTGTAAATCTACAGAGAAAATGCTGCCATCATTGAGCTCCGCATCCTTTTTGTATAATTCTCTTGCTTCTTCATATCTTATCTTGTGATTAATATATTGTTGGCAATCATCACAATCATTATTTAAATTATCTGCATCGTGACCGTGTAAACAAAATTTTTCACAAAATTCACACTCTTCATGGCCCAAAGTTGCAAATGAAATATTTTTTTTCTTTATAGCTAACCTATAATATTCGTATGATATTTGTTGTTCTGGGTATTTGTGTGTAAAATCATTGTGCATCATGGTGATGGTCACATCACTTGGCAAATATCTTCTAATAGGAGCATGTTCCCTCCTGTAATGAGATACAGTTGGTTCAAATGATTCGATTTGCGCATCTATTAAATCGTCATGTTTATACTTCCTATCCGAAACATGTTTGCCACGTCCATCAGCTAATGGGGCTATTGCGGCAGTTGGAGTTTTGTTAAGGACCTCAAATACTGCACGGTCATTATTTGGTTTGTATCCTAGTGTTGTTAGGAAAAACTTCTTGCACACGGACTGCTTGATTGAGTCTTTATTACTGAAGAAGTATTTCCAAGTGTTTTTTCGTGCACCATCTTCAACACTTTTCCTCTTTACAGGCATGCGATCACATGTATTGAGGATAAATGTCTTCCTCTCCTTCCAGCCTAATTTTAAATATTGGGCGTTAATTTCAATACGTCGTCCCTCATTTATTTTGCTAATGCATTTTTTTTTGCAACAATCAACAATTGGCTTTAGTGCATACTTTGCTTTATATAGTTGCATCTTACGTTCTTTTCTTTCTTTGACACTTAAAGAATTACTTCTGCGAATTCGTATAGTTCCCTTTTTAGTAAATTGGACCGATGGAGATGCAGCTTCGTCCACTGGTTTATCCACAGATTCCTTTAACACTGAAACAAGATAAAATTTAATTATTACTTCGTTTAAGTACAGAACACGGTACAACCTATGTTATACATATAATTTATATGTTATATAAAATATACATAATAGATATACCAATTTCTTCTCCATTTTCCACCACATCCACTCTACTCTTTAAGACATCTTCGTCCATTGAAGGTTGAAGTGTTGTGACAGACTCATCTAAAACTGATAATTTAATGCATTGTATATCTGCATAAAAAATGTCACACAAGTTATCATATAATAAAAAAAACACGTAATATTCTTACCAATATCTCCTCTATCCTCCATAATTTCTGCCTCATACACTACGACTTCCATTTTATCAACAGTTACTTCAGATACAACTGTTCTAGAATCCTGTAAAAGAAAGGGTAAAACATAACCAAGAAGAACCATACATTAGGTATTTACACAGTTATTTGTAGATTTTTTATAGTGAAACCTTGAGAAATTTGTAGAATATTTATTATTATGATCAATAAACACAATACACATAACCTTAGATACATAAAATAGATTGAGACTACGGAAATATATAAATAAAACACTTACATCTAACAATGAAGATTTACATTTGTCTGAAGCACGATGTAGCATATATTGAGTCCTTGACATCCAAGTGTTGCAAATATCACACAACATTTTATGATTTTTATAACACTCTACGATAAATTGAATAGTCCTAAATATAATTCACTATAAAAATAATCTTTACCGAAAAAAAAGAAACACCAAATACGAAAACACGAACGAACAACCAACGCACACACTAATCAGATGACGCTTGCAGTTGCAATGACGCCGTATTCGTCATAGATAACCCACGTTTTTGTCTGTGTTGCCGAGTTAAAAAGCAGTAAAGCAATGATACTATGAAAAAATGCAGTACGTACGTTGCAAATACTGCATTTTTAATTTGTATTGCGATAATGCTGCGTTTTTACTAAGTATTACACTATATTTTTTTAACTTACGGCAAAATGAACTATGGGTTTGATGACTTCGGAATATACCACAATATTTTTATATAGAGCGTTATTACACAGAAAACGATGTTAAAACGTTTGGTGCAATAATCTCGATTTTTCAATTTTTGCGATTACTGCGTTTTTTCTTAGGACGGCAGTATATTACTAACAACTACCAAAAATATGTTGTTTATATGCTATGCAAATTAAGGCAGCCATAGCAACCAAAAAAAAATTAACCTCAGAATTCTGAATCTCATTTTACTACATACCCCCAATATTGTAAACTTAGCGCAGTTAAAATAATGTTAATGTAAAAATGAGTAGTTGCTATGCAATAATTAGTACCATGGCAACCAATTTAAAACATGTGATATCTGAACGGGAATTTAAGGGGATGAATTTAAGGGAATAATCAACTCAAACTTGATTAAGGCATCATATAGCTTAAACAAAATTAAGGCAGCACATGGTAATTATTAGTTATAGTGCGGCAAAAAATAAATTTCTTAGTGTTTTTTTTTTTTTAAATTGTGATTTTCAAAGTATAACTGAAATAACTTGCTATGACATATTTATTTAACACATTGGTTTTTCTTATCTTTAAATACTCTAGAATAACATGTACTAATTATTCGTAGATGTAATTAAAATATAACAGTGTTGATGTCACCGTAAATTACTTATTTATAATTTTTTTTTAATTTCAATATTGAAATGCTTAGAGTCATGGTAACAAATAATAAAAAATATAAATAAATTATCAATAAATTTCTCCTAATATATGTAGATACTAAAATTAAATAAGTTTTCAAGATTAAGACAAGACAACTACAGTTTTTCCCATTTTGTCCACCAACTGGTCCGCTGTGCACTGGGTAACCGACTAAAAAAATAATAAAACAAAAATATCCTCGATTTTATTGTGCGGCCCCTTATGCGTTAGGAAAACAGAACATAAGAGGCCCGATAATAAAGTTGCGCACCTGGTGCTGGATGAGCCCTGCTGTTAATACGGAACTGACGGTATATTTAATTGCTTTTTTATTACACTAGTTTTATTACGGTAGTGAACACCTTTATTACGTTCACTGAAATATAACGCAGAACAGAAACATGACAAAAATAGTTATTTTAAAATAAACAATTAATTAATACGAGCGTTACGATAAGTTATATATATAAGTATTTAGATACAATCATAAAAAGAACTTTGGCTTTATCTAAAGTGTTAAACTATATTGTTTTTGGAAAGAAATTTAATTTTCTTAGAAACAGAAATTATGTTCTGACATACCATTAAATTAAAAGCATAAAAATAAAATATCCTGTACAGATACAAGAATATCTCAGCGGAATACACAACAATGCTCTTAATAACTTAAAGTAAAAGTATGATATTGAGAATCTTTCCAGCAATAAATTACATTATTAGTTACAAAAAAATAAAACAGGAAACCAAAAAAAAAAAGAACAAAAGAGCAGCATTGAGTTATTCTTTTTTTTGCAAGCAGAACTGTTAAAAATACACAAAAATTTTATTTATTTTTTCTCTTTTCATTTCATTATTGAATTTGTATAAATAATATAAACGAGATCAATGCACCAGTACGGATTAGTTTTTATTTTGACAGATATGGCTGGAAAAAGAGAAAAAGACAGAAGATTATCTAAAAGATCTTTATTTGGAACGCAAGCGTTTATCAACATACATCGTCAAAAACGTTTTTCTTTATCTCAAAGAAACATAGAAACTGTAGAACCTAGAGGTCAATCTAGCGGCAGTAATACATATTCAGGTATATTCATAAACATATTTTGTATAATGAGATATGAAAAAGTCTAGCTAATGAAAATAGAAAGTAATAATAAAAATATTATAAAATTATAACCGACAAAAATACTCTAATACAGTCATTAAATCGGTCTTTAATTGGCGTTGATACATGAAATATATTTTAACGAATTTATTTTTATATTATAGTTTCGAACTCTGATACTGACGATGATCGAATTATAAAATCAGTTTGTAAAATGAAGCCATCCCAGTGGGCACGGAAGTAAAAAAGACGTCTTTTAAACGTTTTAAATACGTCCAAAACGTTTAAAAGACGTTCAGAAAACGTCTAAAACGTGTATAAGACGTTTAAAAGACGTCTTTTTTACTTCCGTGCCCACTGGGATTGTCCATTAAGTCACTTTTTTCAATTGTTTCCGAAGCTAATAAATATATTTGTTTGATGTGTCCAGAAAATGGAAAACTTATATGTGGGCCTGAGCCAAATCTGCGAAAACATATATTTCATATTCATAAAACACCGGAGTACCTTTACGATTCTCAAAAAAAAAATTTGCTCAAGCTCAATTCCTCGAAACGCAGAACAGAGATGAAATAGATGAAGCCATAATAAATTGTTTTATTCAAGATAGCCGCCCTTTCAACGATTTTCATAAACCTGGTATGCAACTCCTTCTAAACATTCTTGCTCCGCATTACAAGCCGCCTCATAGAAAGACAATAGCTAATCAATTAAGAAAACGGTATTATCAATACAAGAACGATCTTAAAGCTAAGCTTAAATTAGTTGCCTACATAGCACTAGCAACAGATTTTTGGAAAAATCGAGTTGAATCGTATTGGCTTTGCATAACAGCGCATTACTTAACAAAAAAATTTAAATACAAATCAAAAATAGTTTGTTTTCGTAGGTTTTATGGAAGGCAATTAAGTAATAAAAGACTTACAGCATTTGTACAAAAAGAAATTAATAAACTTGAAATTGAATCTAAAATTATTTCAATTACAACTGACAACGCTGAAGATATTAAAAAGGCGATGGGATCTATTGCTTTACGACTTTAATGCATTTGTCATAATTTAAATCTTGCTTTGAACCATGGAATCAAATTGAGGACTAAACCCTCACATAACTTATTAGATAGCACAGCAGATGTAGATGAAAATCTTATATATTACAATAATTATAATGAAAGCGATATCGAATCAAATGGAAATAGTTAATCTGACGATCAAGAAGAAATTGCATGCACTTATGACAAAGACGTTGCTCAGATGATGAAGAAAGTAGCGAGGAGGAGCAGGTGTCAACCAATGAAAATGTTGAACAGTTATTCATTTATTCATCAAGCATATTATTCAGATTAAGAAAGACGATAGCTAATGTTAAACAATCTTCTGTTTTGCAATCATTTGTTTTTAGTGAGATTAAAAAGCAGGGACTGAAGATAAAAAACTTTTCGTCAGATTTTCATGTACGTTTGAACTCAACGTTTTTGATGATTGTTAAGATAATAAAAGCGAAATATGTTAATAATAAAATTACCATAGATCCTGGCACTATCGATGGGTTAACAGAAAAACAGATTAATAAACTCAAGAAACTAGCTTTGTTATCAGATGACTGGAAGTTCCGAGACATTTTACATTATAACCTTGCTCCATTTTTTGAAGCAACTAAACTTCTCTCTACTAAAAATTTTCCAACACTTTCTTCAGCAAAATTCGTCCAAAATACGTTAATGAACTTTCTTGAAAATGAATCTTCAGCTAAATGTTTTCTTTTACAACCATCTCCTACGGTGGAAAGAGAGAACATGTTACGAGCTAGTCTTCTCAAGTTCATGAAGGTATACTTTGTTGAAAAGATGTCTACAAAACAAAAGCTGCAAAGTTTGCTAGCATGTTTCTTTGATCCGAGAACAAACGAGTGTCTTACAGAAAAAGAATATCAAGAAGCAGAAAGCAAACTTATGAAAAAATTTGCAAAGTCAGCACTCCGACAATATCCTGAAAGATCATACAAAACATTTGTTTGCAAAATGAACAAAATTATTCGAGAAGTGGTTAGTTATAAACCTAAAATTTATGTTTGTTAAAAAACATTTGTTTTTAAGTTTATGTAAAAATTTTACTTTTTTTACATTTTCAGTGTTGTTAAAAAAAAGATTACATTTTAGCTAATATAAATACTTGTTTTCATTTTTAGATATGATTGATTCAAGTAATGATGTTCAATTTCATGTTTCACCTGAAGCTCCTGTTAAACGCAAAAATGGGTTTGCTAAGCATGCAACATTGTGTGGTTTTAATCTGTGCGAAGAAAAAACACAGTCAAAGCAAAATATAAAAGAGGAGTTATCCTTTTTCATATATACTATAAAAGCAAAAACTTGGAAATTCGATGAATTTTGGTACAATTATGAAAACGATATTCCAATGTTAGCCTCTAAAGCAAAATAGGTATGCACTTCACCTGCTAGTTCGGTACGGCCAGAATCCTCATTTAGTGTTGCTAACTTTATTCATCGCAAAGAAAGAAGTAAATTAAGCTCGAGAAACATGCAGTACTCGATGCTACTTAAAAAGAAGAACTGAAATTTTACTTTAAAACTTTTTATTTAACTGAAAATGAGGAAAAGTGTTTTAACCAGTATTTTAAAAAGTATTTTGCTTTTTTGAACTATCCTACTAAATTTGTTATATTAAACAAATTAAAATAAGTGGTTGTTGTAGTTATGAAAAGTTATAAATTTTTTTAAGTTAATTTTAAAGTTACTTTTACTATTTTAACTTTAACTTTTTTAATGTTATTTACATCAGTTATTTAAGTATTGTTTTTAAAAGACTGTCTGGTTTATTGTTCTTGCTTTGGAAAAGGCTCTGCATTTTGCAATTTTGTTCTAAGTTTTGCATTTTGGCTTCTTTTATTCAGCGTGGTTGTTGTTAAAAACCAAGCTTACCAAAATCAAAGTTATCTACTTTTAATTAAAATATAAAAACAACAAAAATTAAAAAAGAAAATATTTTGATAAATAATAAATTATCATTTAAACAATTTTCATGA